TTTTTTATCCCGTTATCTCTTTTAGATATCTCTAATCAGATAATAGATTTGTATACAAATCAACGGAGCCTTAAACAAGCGTCCGGTTGCAAGTCTATAACCAAAAAAGTTAATCATTTACTGATTTATTTATAGTTTTAATGTTTCATTTGCTTTGAAAACTTGATATATTATATAATATTTTGCTTAACAGTAAACCCATTTGTACAGTAAGTATATCATGTATTTATCATGTGTGTTTACTAAATGTTTATATTCAATATAATGAGAAGTTACTGCACTGTAACGCACTGTAAGACATGTATGAGATGTAATTAAGTTTTAAATTTAAACCGCGAGTTAGCTGCTTTGCTATTAATTAATTATTTTTACCTGGTTTAAAAATTTGCAAATATCTACACACAAAATAGGCACAATTCATTGGTGATATAATACTCAAATTGTCTGTATTTCTCTACTCGTGTTTGGCCATAGCATACCTGTGCGACCAGTATTTCGTACCATCGCTTGAATACCTGGGCGAAGGTTTGCACATATTTTAATACTATTTTTATTACTAAACATTTAAATATAAACTAACTTATAAACAATTTGCAATTATTATCTAGTATTTCATTTACCGCCGGACATCACCGGCGCTATAATCATCCCGATTGGCACATCCGGACCGGAGATATTGACGTCTGCCATCAGTGTATTCTTCACGAGCAATGACATCGGCACGGGTGCCATCATCGGCAGTGCCGTCTTCAACCTGTTGGCCATACCGGCGGCCTGTGGTCTGGCGGTCGCCTATTTCATCGGCCGACCCGTTAAGTTGGATGCGCTGCCAATACTACGAGACCTGTTGTTCTATATCCTATCAATTGTTGTCCTGATTCTTGTCATCAAAGATAATAGAGTTGATCTGTAAGTGATCTCTGAAGAGATAGCAAATGAATGCTTTAATTATACTGACATTTCACACACAATATTAACAATGAAATCAAATCCCAACGGGAAATATAAATTACTACAGAATTGATTCATCACTACTGACACTACTTTTCGCACTTTATGTCGGAGTTATGATATATAACGCGAAGATGTCTATGAAAGACAGAGACAACTGTCTGGACAATTGTACGGCAAAGCCGGCGGCCATTGAGAGGACAGAAACCACACCATTGCTGAACGACAAGACTCTCATAGCATTGCAACAATTGGCTAAAAACTGTGACGAAAACTATGGAAAGTTTAGTTCATTAAACAAGAAGAGCGGATACGAAGAGATTGTGGACAAGAAATTACAATTGGATGACAACGAGGACGACGACAGCTTTATCATGAATAACTGTTTTTGTTCACTCATCTTATCGCCGGTTTATATAGTATTTTGGGCCACAATGCCTAAGAGATGGCCAATTTGGACGTTCATTGTCTCCATTGCATATCTAACCGGACTTTCTTACGGCACCGTTTGGGCCATCAGTGGATTCAGTAATTAGATTCAAGTTTTAATTGTAATAATCATAAAACTTAATTATATTATCTCATTGTTCAGGTGATGCCCTATCCATTCCCCATACAGTCTCCGGAATGACATTATTAGCCGCCGGTTCTGCGGNAATGAGCCCTTACGTAGAAATTAAGTTATAATTACATGATATGTCTCTTTTGTAATCGAGATTAGAGGTTGAATGACATGTAGTTTATTATGCAAACAAAACTAATCATTATTTATTTGCAATAACTATTTGTTTTAATTTGATTCTCATTTTTATTTGCCTGAATTTTATTCTATTAGTTATTAAAGTGATTATTATAGCAAATGCTATATTATTTAATCAATTAAATTGTATTTTGTTTCATATTTGTTAATTACATTTGAATAACAATAAAGAAACTCTTTTGCCAATCAATAAGCTAATCAATTAATGGTGACACTTGAAATAATCTTGGTATTGCACAACTATGTATGCATTCAAACTTTGATAACTACTTTATATCTCTGTAACGAGTTTTTTATTGAAGTGCTTTTTTGTTATCGTAAAAACCTCTCACTTGACTGTCTATGAAGTCTCATAAAACCATAATTAACATCAAAGTGAGAGTAAAACTTATTGATAATATATTTTAATTTCTTTTTCAATAATCACAATAATTATAATAAATATTATAATATCAGAATACAGGTAAATTAAAAGTACAATTAGTAAACACATAGATATCGCATATCATTACTAGTATATAAGGCATATCGATATATAATTGAGATTTTTGGTTAACAGATAAAAGGGGTGATAGAAAAGTCTTTGCGGAGGAGAACACATAAGTTATATAATATAAATATACTATTTAATAAAATAGTAGTTTCTCTCGTAATGTTTTATGTCAGAGAAAGACATAAACACAACCAACAAAAAAACAAAGACAACAAAATAAAGTTGAAAACTAAAAGTATATAAAATTCAGTGCTATTCTAATGGCATAGGAATTGTTAATCACAATCTCAGGAGTGAACAAACAATTCAAGTGAAATACTGGCGCCCATAAAGATAAGGTGAATGAGGGCACAGATTAGGGACAGTGTTGTGTAGAGTCGCCAATCGCACAGTTTTAATGATAAGAGGAGTGCGAAAATCGTAATCAATAACACGATGGATGTATAGGGAAGGGCGTCGCTCTCTATCGGTATGAACGCCATCGAGTAATCGCCGTTAGTTTGATATAATTGTATCAAACACTTCAAAAGCCACGGCAGACCCAAACCGACCACAATGGCGAAGATGTTGGACGCGATCGCAGCGCACATTCCCATTGAGGCCAGACCGTGCTTTTTGATCACGATGATAGACGTGACCAAATCGGGCACTATAGTTATTTGTAAAATATCATTAGTTTGAATTAAAAACTAATAATTTTGTAGTTATTTTTAAAATCAATGCTTACCCGCAGAACCGGCGGCTAATAATGTCATTCCGGAGACTGTATGGGGAATGGATAGGGCATCACCTGAACAATGAGATAATATAATTAAGTTTTATGATTATTACAATTAAAACTTGAATCTAATTACTGAATCCACTGATGGCCCAAACGGTGCCGTAAGAAAGTCCGGTTAGATATGCAATGGAGACAATGAACGTCCAAATTGGCCATCTCTTAGGCATTGTGGCCCAAAATACTATATAAACCGGCGATAAGATGAGTGAACAAAAACAGTTATTCATGATAAAGCTGTCGTCGTCCTCGTTGTCATCCAATTGTAATTTCTTGTCCACAATCTCTTCGTATCCGCTCTTCTTGTTTAATGAACTAAACTTTCCATAGTTTTCGTCACAGTTTTTAGCCAATTGTTGCAATGCTATGAGAGTCTTGTCGTTCAGCAATGGTGTGGTTTCTGTCCTCTCAATGGCCGCCGGCTTTGCCGTACAATTGTCCAGACAGTTGTCTCTGTCTTTCATAGACATCTTCGCGTTATATATCATAACTCCGACATAAAGTGCGAAAAGTAGTGTCAGTAGTGATGAA